ATGTTTTCTTGTATTTTACTCTGGGAGAACTCTTTACTCCAACAAATTATAAAAAGTTACCTGCTGCTGACAAAGCATTGAAATTTTGAGAAATAATAAAGTAGAAAATTAAAAGGCACCTCAACCAGTTAAGAAATGACCAAACTGATCTTGCAATGCAATTTTACAACTTTCTTTTGCACACGTAATATGTACTTTCAAACAATAACATTCCCTTGTCCTTAAGAGTCTTACACCAAGTTTTCCTCATCTGTAGCTGTAATGCTTTTTAAATATTAAGTATTCTTCCAAATACAGGCATGTTTTAAAATTTTGCCTGTTTTTGCATTTCTAAAAACCACCCGCTTGTTTACAATGTACCTGCTACAACAGCCATGTATGAAGAAGTGAAGCAAGGTCACAGGTAATGCCACCTCCAGCAGACAAAGACTTTTTACGTTGGCGTTTCTTCGATCTTCTTCACTTGTTTTTTGGCCCCTCTGTTTGTGCGTGATCTGCTCTCCTAGTAGAAGCGCTAACCCTTCTTGTCTTGATTGGGTTTGACTTCTCAATGCAGGTCCAGCTCCAAGCAATCTGTGTGCACCTGAGACTTCCAACAAGCACATGGCTGGAAGCCACCAGGTATTGTTCTGCCCTTTGCCCTCTGGCTTGTTAACTAAAAAGAGCCAGGCCCCAGAACTGGTGGGAACCACGTGTTAGCTCTGAGAAGCAGTACTTTGTTAGAGGCTTCCTCTAGTCCCGCCCACACTCAGAGGCTATTAGGACTCCACCCCCTACTTCATGTGTCTGGATTTCCCAGCAGTTGTAGACTTAGTCTTCCCTCCCCACGGGCCAGCTTCCCACGGACCCTTCCTGAATTAGCTTCCGGAAGAACTAAGAATCCACCTCACTCCGGGACCGCTCAACGCGCCTACAGGATGAATTGCTCAAACGATTTTTCGTCTCAAGGAGTAAGCCTTGGGGCTTTTTTCCAGAGATGTCCTAATGGTGGCAGTGTTGTTTCACGAGTTGTATTGACCGCTGCCCCAAGCCCTCTTCTCCCGCCCTTCTAATATGAAAAAAAAAAAAAAGTGACCCAGAGACAAAGGCACCAAAAATATGGCTGCCTTGCTTCTAGGCCGGTTCCAAGAAACCTGTTCCCACTGTTGTGATTTTGCTTTCAGATTCCATCTAAAATCAAACTGAGGCCTAAACCTACTCTCATCACAGGTCTTTTCAGTTCAAAGATTCAATTTCCACTTACCAAGTCTTCATAATTCTACTTTTTCTTCAGTCATCATTTTATCTCCAACCTTTTCTTTTGGGACCAAATTGCCTCCAAGTATCGCTAGGCAAAACTCAGGGGTCCAGGTCTAGTGGGAAAATAAAGTGGTTACATCCACTGGCTTGGAGAACAGCAAATCGTGGCACCAATACTTGTACTTTTTGAGCTGGCTTGCTTCCCAGGTTCCATCGGAGTCCTACTTCGTTTTCTGGCCTGGACATTAGGTCTGAATGTAGAGGGAGAAATTGCTATTTGTCTGGAACGCTAAAATATGTGCCTAGGTAGTTCTCAAGCTATACAGTGTCCATTTGGAGTGATACACATACCTAAACATGGATATATTCCAGCCAGAGAAAACTGATTAGGTCTCATAGTTTCATGAACTAAGATTAGAAAACAGGAACCTTCTTACCTCATTGTATGGGAAGTGGCTTTCTATGACTTTACTGTGTATGTGCATGTCAGTTAGGAATCAGTCTTACAGTACTTTTTCATAACAAAGACATGGTATTTACAAAGGGTTCCAAAAATCAAAGTAAAGCAGAGAAATAAATGAGAGACCTGGGGAAAATGAACCACAAGCCCCCTGTGCTGGCATGTTAGGGCTTAGGTCCCGTTTTCTAAAGTTTGGGTGTCATTTTCCCAATCGAACAAGAGGCTCCCAATAGTTAAATTTTGTTTGTTTATTTATAAGATCTTTCACAAAATTTTTGAACATATATTTGCATACATATGGATATATATTAATGTGTATGTTTATCTGTTTTAAGAAAACATAATTGAATCGATACTTAAGGTAATTTTGTACAAAACTATCATCATGGTATTATATAATTTCCACGTTGCCACACACTTATGAAATTGAAGAAACTGAAATGCCTTTATTCTACACAAATCTCTTATTATCTAAGAGGTTTTTTTTGGCACCAGGGACGAAACTCGGGACCTTGCACTTGTGAGGCAGTGCACAATTTCAACAATAGTGACTTTTTAAATGTCATTCTCATTTATTAGTTACACATATGAAATCACTTTTTAAAAATAATAATTTTTTGCCAGAGATTTAGCTCAGTGGTTCCGCATCCTGCCTTGCAAGCACAAGGCCCCGAGTTCAATCCCCGGTACCAAAAAATAAAATAAAATAAATAATAATAATTTTCAAATTCCTTTGTACATTCAGTGTTCAGATATATTTTCTATATTCATTGTAGGTAAAATTCTTTCTAAATTTCATAATATATTTGAAATTCTATTCTGTTTCCATTAAGTTTATTGGTACATTTAAAGCAAAAAATAGAGTTACATTTATCATTGGGATCTTGTACCTTTACATGATATATCTCGGTTCTTGTTTTTTCCCCATACCCCTGCCCTCCCTTCACCTCCTTCACCCTTTGCTCTTTACAAAGACTTTGTTTCCAAGAAATACTATTTTTTAATGAGTAGGCTCTTACATTTGGAATTTCTCAAAATTACACATGCTTCTTAACAACATTCGCAGACATAACACTCATTTATAAAGAAGTACAGTGAAATCACAAGCAGTGCACCTCGATCAGACAAGAACTTGTAATGTATGGTTGGACCTTTATGCCTCTTGTTGGGTATGCCCTGGAATATAGATTCTGTGGGCTTCTCTCAAGTGGACAGCGTAATAAGTTTTCAGCAGAAATTACTTTTCCACATATTTGTTCTGGATTTGTTATTGAATTGCAAATATAATCTAAGTATTATGAAAAATATTGTAGAATATACAAATGTATGAAAGTCACAAGGGAAACATTTTATCACAAAGCAATCTATCCCAGGGGATCCACTATTGGCAGCTTAATGGATACATGTGTTCAAAGAGTGTAAACAAGATGTACAGCCATTCATGACAGCCGAGCCTTTTAAACTAAATAAATATAGTCTACTGCACATCAATAAACTCCCTTATTTGCATACAAGGTGCTTGAAGCACACACACATTCACCCACTGATAGACACATCATTATTTATTTTCTTCAATTACATATTGGTTAACATGTGGGTGAAGTTTTCTGCCATCGTTTCTAGTCAGAATTGGGTGATGCTTGATTGGATTATTGATGGATACTTTTCCAATAGCATAACTACTCATGATAGTAGTTTATTTTTTATTTATTTTTGTTAATTAATTAATTAATTAATTTATTTATTTATTTATTTCGGTACTGGGGATTGACTCAGGACTTTCAACTTGCGAGGCAGGCAGTGGCACCACTGAGCTAAATCCCCAACCCAATTGATTGATTCACTTTTGTTTGGTGCCAGGGATCTAACTCTGGTCCTTGCGCTTGTGAAGCAGGCAGCAGAACCACTGAGATAAATCCCCAGCCCCCAATTGATTTATTTTTTTTTTATGACAGGGTCTCCTTTTGTAGTTCAGGCACGTCCCAAACTTACTGTGCTCCTCCTGCCTCAGCCTATCCAGTATTAGGATTGCAGATATGTGTCACCTGTCTGCCTAGTGGTTTATTTTTAAATGGCATAAAACTCCTTTGTGGTTGATCAGCTCCTAAGGATGACACACACATAGAGAAAAGAAATGATAAACCAAGTAATTATATAACAGGACAAAGGATAGTTTCTATTATATTAACTCAATTGTATTGCAACCTATTGCATTGTGCCTTTCCTCTATTTGCATTGCATTTGTGTGTGTGCACACATGAATATGTTTCTGTGCTTGTGAGCAATGGTTTGAGGCATGAATTCCAAGTGACATAATCCTTATATGAGATTGCCTTGTTTTTTGAAATTTTCAGTTTTTCATGCCTTTTTTTCTGGCCTTTTGTAGAAAGCCACTTCAAACATCATTAAATATGCTTAGGAAGAAGGGATCTTATGCAAATACATGGGGAGGGGCTAAGTTCACACATGCTTTTGTTTGGGAACAATTTGGTTAGTAAGCAGGCACATTTAGCAAAATTTTGTTTTTGTGAACTCTGCCTCAGGTGACAAACACAACTGTGGTTATCTTTCCTGCATGAACATGAACATGACCATCTTTTGCAGAATCACAGAATAAATTAAGGTCATGAACTGAGGCACCACTGTAATTATTTGCAAAAAGCCTTTCCCCCCCATACTCATTTAAGGTAGTGCATTCAATAATTCCAGAATGTATAAAAAACTGTATTTTAACGGAAAACTAGAGGCTGAAAATAAATGATGTTTTATACTTTGCACTTTTATTAAATGTGCAATGAACCATTTTTCCTCATTTTCTGTGGATTTCAAAAACAACCCTTGCTGGTCTTCAACATTTAAGTCTTTAAGATGAGCATAGTTAAAACATGAAGGGTTTACCTACTTGAGAGGGAAACCATTCTAATGTTTCTTTGGAAGCTTTTCATATATTTGACTTTGTTCATAGTCACACTTTAGCATCTATATGTATTTATGGATTTATAGAATCATCAAACACAGAAGAGTCTTTCATAGGAGTGTCTTTCATGACCTTAATTTGTGCAACAATCTCCCAGGGACACAAAAAGTACAGGCAACCAAAGAAAAAGTGATTAATTAAACTTCATCAAAATGTATTTTTTTCTCTTTGAGATACTAGGCATTGAACTCAGACACTTCACATTGAATTACAGCTCTTTTAACTCAGGCACTTCACATTGAATTACAGCTCTTTTAAATTCAATTTTCCTTTTCTTCAATTCCAGGCTAAGCTGGAGATTATGATTCTCTATTCTCCGGTCTCAACATCTCAAGAAAATAAAAATTTTGTGTTGCAAATGATACCATCAAGAGAGAAAAATGGCTACCTACAGAATGACAGAAAATGTTTATAAAACGTATATCTAATTAGGGAATTATATCTAGAATATAAAGAATACTTATAATTCAATATTAGAAAAACCAATTAAAACTAAGCAAAAGTTTTAAATAGAAGTTTGTCCAAAGAAGACATCAGTATGGTCAATAAGTACATGAAAAGATGCTGAATGTCAACAGCCATTAGGAAAATACAAATCAGAGTTACTACTTTATGCCCATTAAGTTGTTTATCTTTTATCATTTGTTTTAATTTTTTTCACTACTTTGATTCTTCCTACCCAGGAATAGGGGATATCATTCCATTTTTTTATATCACCTTCATTCTGTTTCTTCAGACTGCAGTAGTTTTCATTGTAGAGGTCTTTTGCCTCCTCCATTAGACTGATTCCTACATACTTCATTTTTTGGGATGTTATTGTGAAAGAAATTGTTCCCCTAATTCCTTTCTCAGTGAGTCTGTTATTTGTGTACAAGAAGGCTATTGATTTTTGAGTGTTGTCCTTGTATCCAGCTACAGTGCTGAAAGTGTCAAATCTAGAAGTCTGTTGGCAGAGCTTTGGGGTCTTTCTATGTAGAGCATCATATCATCAGCAAATAATGACAATTTCACAT